ATAATTAAAAAAATATTCAAAATGTTAGATTTCATTTTGATGGAAAGCACCAACACCACCACTCCTTCCCTCCAACCCAGTCTAAGTCTTCTAATGGGGCAGAAACCTGATTTTAAATGGCAAAGGAAAACCCTTTATCATGTTTTCTCTTTTACCCATTCTAAACCTTGCTGCTATTTCTCAGCCATCTCCAGTGGCCAGGCAGGTGGCTGAAACTACCATTAATTGTGCTCCTTCTTCTGTTTCTTTAGGAAAATTTTTTTGGTCACTGCTGGAAAAGCTGCAGGAGCTATGGGAAGATGGAAAGGTTGGTAGAAGTAAGGCAGAAGGTGATTAAGCATTGCTTGTGATCCTGGTTTAGAAGTGGAGAAATGCTCCTTAGAGGGAAAAGTCATGCTCTCATCTGGGTTCCTGAAAAATGCTCAATAGAGCAGTGGCTTTTCCATCCCTCGTGGAGTCTTTGCATCTAAGGAAAACTAGCAGCCCATGGCCCCTGGGATGGGCAGAAGAGGAAGACAGTGACAGGTCACACCCCAAATGTTCAGCTTCTGCCCTGATATGGGTATTTCTATCTTGATTCATACCACAGATCCACGTCTCCCTTCAAAACACAATTCCTCTAGGCACAGTGTTTGGCTGGGGAAACTGTGTGTTTTGCTTTTAAGCCCCTGATTCTCACCACTCTTTACACAAATGCCCTGCTGAGTTAGGGCATAAAGACACAGCACAGAGCATCATTAAGAGATGTTGTCCTGAGCCAGCAGCTCCTTTACCTGGCTGGTTCTGGAAGCACCAGGGCTCTGAGCCTGCAGGAAGGTGCCTGCAAGACACAAAAGCAGCCTCCAAACAATCCTGCATGATCTGCAGCTGCCCTGCTCAGCCCAGTGCATTTGCTCTGAGTGTCTCCTATCTTTGGCACTTGAGGTGTTCAGTAATTTTCAGAGGACAAACAAACAAAACCCTCGCGGTTCCCATTAAATAGTCGGCGGGACCCACGGCTCGTTGATATTCACCAGCCAGAGATGTCTGCTACCTCAGAACAATTAGTCTAAAATATTTATCAGAAATAAGTGTTGGGGGTTTTTGTCCAAGTTTTTGAAGTTATGAGGCCTCAGATGGGATTAATGGAAATTTTAATTAAGATATGGAAATAAGCTGCTTTCTCCCTGTCTCTCTGAGACTGCAGGGAGTTCACATTATCCTCAACAGCATGTCTCAACCTGCTGGGGGAACCATTTGCAAGATGACTTTGTTTTTTAAGTTCACCTTAGACAGGATGTTTAGCTGAGAATTGGACATGAACCCCAAGTCCAGGTCTGCAAAGCGCTGCTCTGCCCCTGAGTGTGGATCCCTCCGCTCTCTTCCACAGTCAGAATCATGAACCCTTTTCCCACTGCAGGGAAAAGCTTTCCTGAAGGAGGGAAAGGGATTTAAATCCTTTTGTATGTTTTCTGACAAGCATCCTGGCCATCTAGCTGATTATCTGGGCTCCATTCACGAGGAGAAGATAAACAGAAAGGAGAACTGAAGGGGCAGCAGCTGAGCAGAGGAGCCCAGTGGCTGCCACGGGGCTGTTGGGAAGAGCATCCTGGAGGAGCAGAGGTTCTGCTTCAGCACTCTCCAGGCTTATGCTTCTTCAGACAGGACCCAGAACAGGCTGATGGTAAAGCAGATTTGAAGCACTGATGGTTTTAGGTCTGATTTTAGTCTCTGACTTCATTCAGCAATAACAGTGCAAATGCCCAGTACCAGCGGAGTGAGCTCCCCCCTCTCCAAACACTGCTGTTGCCCTTGGGAAAACATTTATTTTATGGATGTTCTCCCTCCTTACATTGCAGCATTGCTAATAGTGTGAACTGAGCTTTTTTTTGAAGGTGAAGGATTTTAATTTGAGCCTTGGAGCAACTTTGGCCTCTAGTTTTTGAAGATTTCATTGGAAATCAGGAAGCTAAGTATGCTGAGACTCGGATTTTTGCACAGAACAGAAACTGTGACCTGCATGGAGAGGTTGTCTCACAATATTGTCTGCAGGAACTGTCTGGAAGCTTTTCTGCTTCTCTTTCTCCTTCCTCTCTTTGGTCTCTATAGTTAAATCTCACTTTTCCCAGTCTAAAGATGAGAAAAAAGGAAGCACATAGGCACCTGTATTTTCCAAAGGAAATTTTATTTTTGGGTATTTTGGCTTCTGGATGCACTAAACACCTGTATTTCTGGCTGAGCTCACTATGAGAAGAAGATTTAAGAGAAGGGCATTTTAAATCTCTTTCCAAAGGTAATGAAAAGTATCTGATAAAAGTATTTCAAATTATTCATACAATTTTGTGCCCTGTGGGATCACACTTAGATGCCTATTTATATGGATAAAGAATATCTTATTTATGGAAAACAAATCTCATTCTCAAACCTGATAAACCACATCTGAATGTGCTGTGAATAACTTATTTCATATAAGGATCACAAAATAACTTATGAACATTAATTAATCAAGTACTGAGACCTAAGCATGAGCTATCTGAGCATTTCTATACCAAATCCATCTTACTGACAAGGGGGAACCAAAAGGCATGAAATGACTTGTCCAGGGTCTCAGACAAGTCCATGACAAGGTTAAAACTGAAATTTGGCCATTGTTTTTCTCATTCTTCCAAACCAGAGACTGTCCTCCAGCTTTGGGAACAAAGGGATAAGGAAAAAAGGGAAAGGAATAGATGTATTAAGGATGCCCAGATGTTCTTGACACGGGGGGCATAGGTCAAATCTGAGATCCTATTTCAAAATCTAGAGAAAATTACCTTTCCAATGACACGTGGCATGACCTTCAACTCCTAATAGTCTAGGAGCAGTCCATTTCTGAACGTTTGCATCATGCATTTTACATTTTCCGGATCTCTAAATCATCTCTTATCATTTACTTACTTCTCCCCGATAATGAACACTATTTTTCTGCTGTATCTCTCTCTTTTTTTTTTTTTTTTTTTTCCCTAATGTGGGCTGCATCCTGCTACACCCTTTTCAAAAGCCCAGGAAAAATCTCAAAGCACAAAACTGACATTTAATGCAAGGCTGGGGTATAGTTGCTGATTACTGCTTGCGTGTGTGTTTTGTACAAAACAGGCAGACAGACTGCAGAAGGCTGGGAGGCATTAAGCAGAGATGATTTTGAGGGGATCTCAACCAAATTAAACTTTTCTTTTTTTTTCAAGTAAAGCCCAGCAGGGGATAACAAAAATTAGGGTTGGATTTACTAAAAATGAAGTGCTCCAGTGATTAAAAAATGGTTGGCTGCAAAATCCCAAACTGCATTTGATTGTGAAACAGCACCAAGCCAAGATAGGGCAGCTTTAATAAATTGTGTTGCTAATTACAAATATTTCATAGTATCTCCATTCGTACAATGAGGATGGAACTGTTTAATGACAATTTATTAGTGCATGTGCACAGATATACTGTATTTTAATCTTCTTTTTATTTCCCTTCTTTTTTTTTTTTTTTTTCCAATTGGTTCTTCCAAATAGGAAAAAATGATAATCGTTATCTAAGCTCTTGACTTCCCTTGACTTAATTGCAATCTAAGTCCGCTTCTAATCTGTACAGATCACGGTTGCACGATTTGGAGTTTAATTTGAACCCCTGGTGAATACATGTGCAGAGGCTGGAGGGTTTGTGTGTGCACACGTTTGTGTGCTCAGTGCTTTGAACGTGCCTTTCTTCCTCCCCCCCCCGCCCCAGCCCCTCAAAATAAGCAAGGAGAAAAATGCCTCTCTGTCTTTTCCCTATTAGCACACACAGCATCTGCCCTCCTGCCAGTACTGCAGCTTTCTGAGAGGTGGGGATTTTTTTCCCACAACTCCATATTTCATGACATAAATAAAATCAAGAGCTTTTGAAGAGGAAAAACCATAATTTGCTGAGAGTGGGGGAAGACCACGGCACTTCTGCTGTGCCTGGTCCACAGAGTGTGTCGCGCCCCTGAGCTAGGGAGAAGATCCCTTTGTGCTTCACGCCTGATATTGCAAAGCTGTTAAAGAAATAGGGATGCTAATTCTTATTAGAATACTAAATTGAGGTTTTTCTTACACATCTTCACCTCGCATGTCCCTCAGGAGGATTCCTCCATCCGTTTAGAAATGCTGGGAAGGGGATCTCAGTCTCTGCATTAATGTGGCTCAGCTGGGGACAGCAGGTAGCACCAGTGAAGTAAGAAACAATGTACCTAAAATTTGAACCAATTCACTTTTGAAGCTCAAGAGAGATGAGTTACCTGTTTTTCTACCTTTTTGATTATTATGTTTAATGCACGTGCTCATCCTAAATCAGGCTGAAACCCCAGAGCACTGAAATACCTCTGAGTTTGGTAACTGTACCTAAATAAGCACAAAAGGGCTGTGTTTGCCCCTGTAGGAATTACATCACCTGCACAGTCAAGGAATAAGCTCAAAGCAGCTCCTGCCATGGAGGAAAACACGCTGTCTCCTCCCCTACTCACTTATCAACATAAAAGCAAAGCCACACACACCGAAAAAAAATATTTGCTATGCTAGTAGCTAAGATTTAGGTTGATTACAGCTGAAATAAGACTTCCACAATTTTAATTAGCTACAGAGTGGGGGCCAAGCTCATTACTCTGAAAATGTAATGATGTTTCCGCTTCCATTTCCACAATCAGGTTCTTCTCTTTACAAAAGGGCTTCTGGCATATTGAAGATGGTTTGTGAGTTCATCACGCCACATCCACTGCTGTTGGACCAGTTTGGACTGGATGTGGGACTGTGGCTGGACTCCATCCCCTGCACTGGGCTCAGAGGCAGAGGCTGCCCTGTGCTGGACTGACCCCTGTGTGTCCTCACCTCGGCCCTGCCAGCCCGCAGTGCCTGCTCCAGCACTCCCAATATCTTGCCTGAGCTGAACTCTCCTTCCAAAAACAGATCCCCAAACCCTCCCGCACGGTATTTTTATCCACAGCATTTTCAAGGTCATAATGAGCTCAGAATTACCCTCACCTGAAGTGATGCATTGTCCAAGCTCCCTCCAAGCACACTCCTACATGCCTGGAAGTCCCGGCGCCTGATGATTAACAACGAGCCCGAAGGGGGACCGAGAGACGAGCAATGAAAAACGTCCCCTGCAAGACAGGGAGGCTGAAAGGGAAGAAACGAATCCCTCTGAGGTGCCCTGAGAGTTACTTTTAGGACCACGATAGCTCCATTAGCCGCATCCAAGGTGCCACTTCGCATTTCATGCTACAGCGAAGTTTTCGTTCGACCAGCAGTGATTTCCACAACTTGTGGAAGTTTCTTTCTCAGTGCTGGCACATTAAAGAAAAAGGCTATACGGCGCTGCAGGCGAGATCCAATATTTTGTTGTCATGTACGATTGCCTATTGACTGTGAAAAAGCAAACAACACAGTCTGAACCAGGCAGGCTTTCGGATACCTGCATCCAAGCCTGTCTTGCTGCTTACAAAGGGACCCTTTGGCAAGTGTTTTTTTTTTTTTAAGGGAGGGGTCCCAGTTTCCCTGACCCCAGAAAATGTGTCAGACTCTCCCAGTTAGAGAAAAGGGATGTCTTTCTTTTAACTCAATTAGCAAACACTGCCAGCTCTGACAGTCCCCAGCTCAGTCCCCCGGCTGTCAGCTGCTGGTCCAATTTTAGGTTTGTGTACTGTCTAGATAGCAAATTTATTGATGAAATATGGTCGTAGGTGTAAGAAAAACTTGGAGGATCCAACTTCTTGAACCTATGCTTATGAAGACTAATGTATATCTTTATGAGCTGGCAAATGCTTCTTTCTGTCTCTGAAGGTTTGTGTAGACGAAAAAATAAATCTGCAGAAAAGATGCTGATACTTCAAACGTTGGCTTGTGGTTTTGTTTTTATTTTTTAGTCCTGCTGCAGTCAGGGAAAAAAAAAATCCAGAAAAAACAACATAAAAATAATTGTTACTATGACAGTGCTGAGGAGACCCAGCCTCAGAGTAGTGCTCTGTTCCACAGGGATTTTTCTTAGCTTAAAAAGTCCAAAACTACTCACAGAAGTTTTAAACATTGCCCCTAAACATCATTGGGCACTAACAGATGAAATTTCTTTCTTGCTGCACATATAGATGATGTGTCAAGAGACTGGAGGTGAGAAGGGAGAGTGGTAAAAGGGATCTGCAGGTTGGCAGCTGGGTAGAAAGGTGATACCATCCACAGAAATCCTTGAGTAAACTTTGCATTTCTCATTTAAATTAATGCCAAGCATATTGTACATTATAGTAAGTTACTGTCCAGTCCACGTGCCATGGCTCCTATGAGCGGGGTCTCTGAAAGCTCAGAAGAGACACTCAGGGGGCAGATTTAGCACAAGTTAGTCCCCAAAAATCTAGATTTGTAAGATCTCAACCCATGCAACTCTGAAGCCAGTGGGATCTGTGGGAGAACATAATCTCAGATAACCAAGACCAAAATAACTGTGATGGAGAAGACTGTACCCTCCTGCACCACCTTGGAATGTGGGGGGATTGTCCTTTGCAAGAGGGGGTGGAAATCAAAGAGGTCAGGGAAAGAAGGGTATGGCTCCATGGTACAGTGAGAAAGGAATGGAGGGGAAGGAAACCTCTCCAGTTCTGTAGAGATTCCCTGAAAGTAACAATTACAGTTCTCCCTCAGGACTGTGAGCCTTGGCCAGGAGGGAGTTACATCAGGCACAGACGAGATGGTGCAAACTCCTTGAAGTTAGTGCTCATGGCTTTCTTGCCCAGAGCCTCTGGAGAGGAAGCAGTGATTGAATCCAACAAATCACAACCCATTTCCACATGGAGAGCGGAGCAGGTAGGATTATTGGCTATGGAACCAGGTAGCAGGGGAGGCAGAAACCCCTCAGAAGAGTGAGAAAAAATGTCCCCAGTGTGGGGGAAGAGAGGGAGAAGTCAGACAGAAAATGCTGCTGGCTTCTGTTTGGTGGCTCAGGTCTTCTCATGTTCTAACTGTCTGTGTTTGACGTGAACACGCCTTATTTTAATTTAACTATAAGTTTGTATATAGTACGCTGTTAATGCCTTGTGCCTCATTTGGTAGAAGCAAAAGGTTCTGAGCCCATAAGGGTGGGGGGGGATCAATAAATTACAATAAATGTGAAAGAAAAACATTTCTCTGGCAACCAGCAACGCAGCACCATCAGGAGAAGCAGCCGCACCAAGGGGGGAGCAAAGACGGGGGGGAAAAATAAACAAGATGTCTCATGTAAGGAAAAAAAAATTTAAGGCAAGGCAAATGTTTTGCAGGAAAGGAATAGTGGTGAAAAGAGGGTAGTTACATGGACTAACTCCCCTTGAAAATCTTGGATACATGGGAAGGAATATATCCTGAACAATAGATGGGCTTTGTTGGGCAATAAAGGCAAGTGAGAGGAGGAAAGGGAAAACACCACCAAATTAAAGCATGAGGCAGCAAGCTGCCTTCCTGCATGGTTGTCTCCTCTGCAGGCTCTACCAGCAGCCTCCAAAGTCTGTCTGAAATTCCATGTGGAGGGGAAAAGACATTAGGGCTGCGAAGGGAGGACAGACTTACTGGGTGGCACTGGTGGCTCTGCCTGAAGCCACTTCCATGAGAACATTTGGGGCCAGGTCCCAGCTCAATCCTGCCTGTGCTCTCCCTGTACCTTGATCAAGAGCTGAATTTTCAGTGGAGAGTTCTTATGGGACTTTAAAAGTCTCTGATCTGGGGTTCTACAATGAGGTTCACAGTCTGCTGCAGGTTAGACAGACTGGCTGGAGCAGGGAATAAAGGAGGATCTGATCCCCAGGCTGCATGCACATCCTTGTGCTGACACTTCCCAACCACTGCATCTGTGCAAGTGCTTCAGCCCATTCCTAGTGCCCAAACTAATCAGAAATTCATTGCTAAACCACTCTTTGAGAAACTGCTTTGCAAATAAACTCTGGGCCTGGGTGCTGGAAGAAAACAATCTAATTATTGGCTGCTGGGTTATTTTCTTCTTTAAGAGATCTTTAAGAGCAAGTCTGATCTATTCCCTTTGCAGGTTTCTTCCTCCTTGTCAATACTGAGAACTCATGTGAAGCAAAACACTGGATGTATCGGATGATCTTCTCGCTTGCCTGAGAGTCACTTATGGCAGGTCCAATATTTTTACATTTAAAAGGTAGTCAAAAGGTTTTCAGAAGAAATCAGATGGAAACAAGCTGGTTTGTATACATGGAAATTCCATATTCTTGGCAAAAAGCTCCTCACAGCAGCTAACAGCAAAATGTTAAAGGAAAAAAACCACTGTTAATATGAGCAAAAAGGTAATAATGAAATTGAAAATTTTGAAAATAGGGATTTAAAGGCAGATTTCAACCTGGGAAGCTCTGAAATAGCTGAAGGGAGACACATGGCTGCAGAAAGCCTCATGTTCTCACAGTGAAACCCTGCAAGGCTGTTTGTTCCCATGAGAAATTCCCCATGCCTTCCCATTGCTCACATACCCCAGTGCCCTTTCTCTGCAAAGGGTCTCATTCTCCCCCTTATTCACGAGACAAGGGCTTGTACAGGTAGAAATAGATGCACAAATAATGCTTTCAGTGACTATTTTCACTATTTCAATATATGGAATCAAAGCAATTAGCCAGCAGAACATGATCTCCCAACATTTTTGAATCTTTGACAACTGACCATAGGAACTTCATTTGATGATACACCCAGGAAAGATCGGAGTCAGTGAGAAACACGGAACATGCAGCTGCTCTTTCAGTGTGCAAATCAATCACACTGGATGTAAACTTCTTTGTTCACTGCCTCCCTGTAGCCTGTGCTGCACAGACAGCCTCACTGACATTTCCCAACCTAAAAAAAGGATTCCTAATGCTAATCCTGATTTGACTGAGAAAAAGAAGCAGGAGCCTCCGTCATGGCCCTTTGCTATGCTAGGTGCTCTCCAAATACGGATCAGAATGAGGAGCCCCAGGAGACTAAAGCCAGTGAGAAAATCATTCTTCTCCTCTGAACTTCTCTAGATTCAGCATTTCCATGTGTATATGCTTCTCCCTATGTGTGTGGGTGGGACTCTTCCTCCTCCCTAGTCCCTCCTTGCCTGTAACCAGTCTGCAAAAACACATGGGCTCAGTCCTGAGAAAAATAAAAATATTGGAAAGCAATATGATCAAAGCAACAGACGTGACCATTGTCTTCTCTGCAAGTTCACGTGGCAAGAAAAGGCACAGGTGGAGAAAAAAGCAGAGCAGAGGGTGGGAGGAAAACTGAGGACTGAGGAGAGTCTTGTGTGCATGGATAACAGGCTTGCAGCCACCGTGGATCATGGAAATGCCCTGCTCCTCTGAACTAGGGCAGATTTCAGAGGAGGTGTTCCCACCTCTTTAGTTTTCTCCTCCTCTTCCAAAACACTGTAACCTGCCAGGTGGTTTTGCAGAGGGGTCATTCAGGCTGAATGGTAAATAACATCAAATTCATTCAGTCTGGAGTCAAGCACAGTGAGGCATTTCCTCCCTGTGGTGATTCACTCCTTGTAGAGGGGTATACCATTGCCTCTCCATCCCAATATCCTGCACACCTGAGGAACAACCGGAGGCCTTGCTGTCCACCAGCTCTCCAGCTCCTCCTCCCACTGAGTCCAAGAGAGGGAAGAGCATCCCCCTGCAGGTGACAGCCGTGAATCTCAAAGGGAATTTGCCACTGTCATTGTTCTGCTGGAATCATTCAGTAGCAACCACCCCAAAACTGTGACTTTTCAAGGAGAATTGGGGTATTTTTCAGCCTACTTGATCTGCCAGAGTGCTGCAGCCTGGGAAGAGTCCTAGTTTGAGGACAGACCCTAAGGACCTGATTTCCAATATTCCTGCCCATTGGCCCCATTCAGAAAGAAACTGAAACCTGTGCCTGACTTGTCTCACTGAGCTCACAAGCACAGGAGTCAGAATTAGGCAAAAAGGCAGTGCTGCAACACCTTAGGCTTCAGTGTTAACAAGCCAGTACAGATACTACGAGGCACTGCTGTGTCAAAGGTGAAAAATGCACTTTATCCTCCTCATCAGGCTATTGAGAGAATTCCAAAGAAATGTGTGTATGTCTATATTTAACTCTTGTTCCTCTTCAAAAAAAAAATAAAAAGAAATTATTCAGCTCATACAGGCAATGAATATAGGCCACAGAATCCAACACACAGCAGCAAAAGTACTCCATTATTAAGTCTGTAATTGCCAAGAATTAATTTGCTAATTGCATGCAACTAATCTGCGTCCTTTTTGTTTTATATCAATTAACAGAGTAATTAAAAAAAGCAATCTTCTTGATAGTTCCTCACTGGCAG